TCATTTTGACATTGATAGAGACGATTATTAAGCTAAAGAATAAAAGAAATTGTATAATGGCGTCAGAAGTCAAGGTATTTGAATGTTTATTGAATAATGCAAGGTAGTGGCATGCAATAACGTGGAGTATATTTTGATTTCTTGAAGTAGTTCTTATGTATTTTGATAGAATTATAAACTTCTTACATTTTTATGTCATAAGATTCAGTCTGATCAATAACATGTCTTTCTGAAGATATGTAATCGAACAATATGGAAATTCTAAGGTTTCTTAAAAATCATCCGCAACTTTTGCTTAGGTCTAATTCTATAGAAGACACTCAAGAGTTGATGTCTACGAAAAAAAAAACTCGGGAAGTTCATATGTCAGTTTTGAGAAATGCAACATGACTTTTCAAAGATCCCCTGAAAAAACCGATCTTCGGAACTTTTTTCAAAAAAAAAAGATACCATAGAGCTTTGGCTATTAATATCTGAAAAACGCATACTATTATCTTGTATTATTTAAAAATCATTCGAATGCCTTTATTTCTAGCGTTGATAATAAAACAAATGTCCTTACATTAATTGCTGTTTGATCAACTAATTTCATTCTTGAACGTATAATTTCTTGTTTAACTGCCACATTTTCTCCAGTTATTTTATAATTGGCTATTGATGAAAATAGATCCTGAAATAAGAAAAATATATGTGATTTTAATTTCACGAAACAAATAACTAATCATTGTTTTTTCTCTATGCATTGCTATAGGTCGAAAGTTCAGTAAAATGATCATAGCTCGGCTCGAGAAATCAATGGGCATGAATTGTTTTAGAGTTTTTCTAGTCTTACCGAAACCTTCTTGTGTATCCAATATGATTTCAAACCATGGATTATAGCTCGGATAAGGGGCTGGAACAAACTTAAGCACCTAGGTCAAATTCTGAAGATGATTTTAATAGTCAATGAAATATTTTATCTAATGTATTCCACATCAAGATTGCGTAAATGAATTATGACGGTAAGGTTTATTATAAGAACCGAACACGATAGTTTTTAGATCCAACAAGCTATTCTTTAACAATACCATGTCAAAGAGCATAAAATAATGCGTCGCTGCATTTTCTACGACCTTTTCTTAAAAACTTAAAAGCATAACAAAAACTGAAGAAAAAAGGTTTTTTTGATAAATTTCGTTATTTCGTGATGTTTTTGGGAGAAGGTCGTAGAAAATCCGCCGACACGTCATTTTGCGCTTTTTG